GGAAAAAGAGAGAAATAAATGAATACCTGGATTGTAAAATATTATAACTATTTTGAAGCCTTGTAAAGCTCTTATAAAGTATAATAATATCTAACAATATACAAAGTACTTTTAAAGCTTTACATTAGATTGTATATATTATAAAACTATATTACTCTTGTTAAAATACAAAGTTCTTTTAATATCTTTTCATTTTAGGAGGTTGGATATAAGTTCATTTACATATTGTCAATACTTATAAACCTTATTAATATTAACAATTTGTACATACCTTTTTGTATCTTATATAGCTTTTTATAATTTTCTCATTTTAAGAGGTTGGATATATGGTCTTTTATATTTTTTAGAAAATTTATATAATTTATATGTTTATAAGCTAATATAATCCTTAAGACTTTTTCCTGATGTATTTTCCTTTTATCTCTTCAGGTTTTCTCTTAGTCTTTTCCTTTGTACTTCTTACTCTAAACACTATACTCTTTCTAGATCCCCTCTCTATACAAGCATTCTAAATGACTTGTCTTTAGTTAAGGTTATCAAGTAATACTGTGCTAGAGTATGTGTTTAACCTTAGAGAGATAAAGACCTTGTTTACAGGTTTTGTTACCTTTTCCTAACTGACTTAGTACTTACTCCTTCCTGTCTACTCTCTCTGCTAATAGATTGATCACTCATTAGTAATGATTAGAGGTTAATAATGCTGAGCTAGAGTTCTTACTAAGCAGGACAACAAAGGTAGCCTAGTTGATCTGGCCAATCTCTAGACTTGTAACTAATAGAGTTTTGTATATAAACTACTTAGTTCTAAGTCTTGAGTTAATCTTTTCCAAACTTAGTTACTGTATTTTACAATTCCTAACAACTACCTTGTGTCTCTGTAACTCTCTCCTACACTCAATACTAAGACAATCTCTATGAAACTTTGTAGAACAATAGATGAGATGTTAAGGATTATGAAAATCTAGTAGTAATGTTGGTTTTTTGCAAAACTGACAGAGATATGAAGAAAATGAAATAGGTCCAATCCTACAATTCTAACAAAACCCTTTCTTCTCTGTCTCTTTATTCTCCCCTACTTTTCTTTAGAGTTTTAAGTAGTTTAACTAAAAGGATTCAGTCAAAATTCAAGTAATATACAGTCTATAAACACAGATACATATAAACAAAGAAGCAACAGAACAGTCAAATTAAGTTACTGAAAATACTATTACATAAGAGTATTACAAAAGCATATATACTCTATAATAATATTAGAATTAGTAAGAGACTTAGAGACAAAAGAAGAAGACACACAATCAGAACTAATAAAGATAGTTCAAGTAACACTAACTAAAAACTTAATACAAGAAATACATTAAACTGAAATACAGTAATATGTCTTACACAAACTACTATACACTATAAGTCTACACTTTGTAATTACCTGTAGAATAATTTATAACAAATTACTATACTATACTTGTATAATAGTACAACTACAGTACTATATCTGAATATAACAAAGTTGTAACTACAGAGTAGTATTACTCTACTGAGCAATTTGGAACAAACTATAAAAGGAAACCTATAACAGTAAAGCTTACCTAACAATCTACAACAAACCTAATCTACTAGGAATAACTTAATACACAATCAAGATAATTTACTCTAAGGACAATTTACTAATAATAGATTTGGAGCACACATTGATAGAAGGTATAACACTTAGACCCAGACCAGACAAACAAGAATAGAGGACACTAAATAATGTAATAGTAGTAATAATAATACAATATAAACTAATAGGCCTGCTACCCTACACTTAAAACTATAATTAAGTAAGAGAAGTATAATAACTAAGACAGTAGAGATAATCTAGCTAATTAGCAAAAGGCAGTGTAACAATCCACAAGCTGTAACACAACTATATTGATTATAACTACTAAAACAGGCAACAAAGCATATAGTCTCAATTGCCCTAAAAACATACAGCAAATAACATGACTGTTAACAATACACTACTTACTAAACACAACACACAGACTACCTAATAGACAGAGCCAATAAGTAAGAACAGTAAATAAAATAATAAGTAGTAAAAGTCATAGTATAAAAGTAGTACAATTCTGTCATATAAGAGTATTGTACTTGATAACTGTTTTGTTTTGAGAACAGCTCATAAACTAGCTGTATTCTACTTGCTCTCATACTACCACACAATAACCACCTTTTACCCTTGAACCAACAATGCTTGAGTGTATCCCTGACAGCAACCCACTCTCCCATCTTACTAGGCACAAGTACTATCAACACTAGTTCTAACTGGTGGCAACTGAGGCTACACTCAGGACCAATCCCAAGTGGTTTAAAGGATTCACCTGTGTTCTGTAAACTGATTGTATGAGGTGGAACTCTCACAGTGAATCTATAACAGTAACCTAACAGTTATATGTAATATCCAGCTACTGTAGATCATACATATAAATAGACAGGAAACTAGAGGTTTTCTATCTATTCTTCTTCCTGTATCTTGAGTCAACTCACAAATACTATTTTGTTACCTAATCAGTGTCTTAGCTTACAGATAGTACAGATATAAAATGTGATTTTGGCTGGAGTTTGCTAGATAATTTCAAATGGTGAGTTAGCTTTGTCTTTTGCAGCCTTTCTAAGCCTGTATAATATTAGTATTAATAGTATGTGGATCTGACGTATTTTTCTGTACAAAAGGGCAGAAGGATATAGTCTATTTTAGAGTAATGGTATGGTATGGTATAACTTACTGGAGCAATGTCCGAAGGAAAGTACTTGTTTCTTGACTAAGGTATGTTCTACATATTCTGTTGCCTCTAAAGGCTTGATTCTACTTAGTATTTTCCTACAGTGATTTAACGAGCAATTTTCCGAAGACTAGTTACTGCGATTGTACAAGTGTCGAGTCAAACGTGACTGCATCGCTTTCGAGCCGACTTAAATTGCACTATCATCTGCGAGCTTTGTGTCTGGATTCTCAGTGTCTCGATATTTCACGCCCTTAAAAATCCACATGTAAGCAATCTCCGTCGTTAAGAAAGGTAGGTGATAGACTACACGGTGTTCGGCTGGTAAGGTTACAAGTAGTATACATTTCTTTTTCTCCTAATTCATCCTTACAGATTCGTGTTTAAGTTTATAATTCCTGGACCTTCAGTTTGCAAACGCCTGAATGCCAGTCATTGCCTTCCCCAAGATGAGTGCATGTACATCCGCAGTGCCTTCATACGTATTCGTCACCTGCAAATTTGCTACATGCCTCCCCACATGATATTCATCTGCGCATGCGTTCCCACCCAATATATCTAGGACTGTGCGTGCGTGCGTGAGAGCGGACACGCAATTCGCTCGCTTGACCATCGAAACCATCTCAGGCGCCAACATGTCCTTGTCTTTGAGACGACCGACTTGTAAAGCTGCGAGGAGGCCGAACGCAGAAGCAGTGGACGCTTCGACGAGCTTCTTCTGGATAAGTTGGAATGAAGCAATGGGCCGTTTGAATTGCTTTCGCTCGAGTGCGTATTCGCGTGTTCGTGCAACGCAATCTTCAAGTGAGCCCATGACGCCCCAGCTTATCCCGTACCGCGCATTGTTGAGACATGAAAACGCAGATTTGAGACCATCAGTGCCTTCGAGTAGTGAATCTTTCGGTATGCGGACGTTATCCATGAATACGGAACCAGTGAGAGATACGCGCAGCGCGAGTTTGTTCTTGATTATGGATGTCTCGAGGCCGGGAACGCTTGATTGTGAACGGTCAATGAGGAAACCCCGGACCTTGTCGTCCCATTTGCAGCGGGCCCAAATAAGTATAAGGCCTGCGACGGGCGCGTTGGAGATCCACGTCTTGCTGCCATTTAATATGAACCCACCATCGACGTCTTCAGCACTTGTCTCCATACCGGCTGGATCGGATCCGTGATTCGGTTCCGTTAGACCCTGTGTACAGTAGTTAAATGTAGGTTTAGATAGTTGTGAAAGGATAGACGCACGAAACACCCGATTATCTCTCCCTTTCCCAGCCGTGGCAAGTACTTCTCCTTCTGAGATGCTGAGCCGAACGCATGAATGGGGTGCATGACGAGAGAGGATTGTACGCTCATTGTCGAACGATAACCAGAGTCAATACTAATGACACGTCAATATTCGTGCAACTGCTACAATGATGGAAAGTGGAGAGGCTTACCGTTCTACTTCACAAGCAACAAGCCCATATGCTACGCTACTCACACCTGCGCATCCGTAACCTTTTATAGTCGGTCCTAGCAATCCAAGTTGACCCATCTCAGGTAGTATTTCTGGCACGAATTCTACGGTCGAGTTGAGCACAAAGTTCGGAGTAAAAAAGAGCCGTGAACAAAATACTTTCTGTTCGCTGAGCTTCAAGAACTCGAGGAAGCAGCTTCTCCTGCAATATACATTACTTTTAAAGCAGCGTCAAACATCCACGGCCCAATGCATACGGACCTGACAATACGAGCGAGCTGTATCCCTACTGGTAAGTCAATATCAAGATTTAATACCTGACAGTAAGTACAGACCGAACGGCTATCTCCTCTTCGGTGAGTAACGACTCGAGGTTGAGTGGATCCTGAGCATGTCATATCGTGACAAAGTGAACGACAGAATACGGTGCCGGGGAGGACATACCTCCCAGTCATACTTTGCGAACGTTGAGGCATGTCTCCTTGATGATAAGTGCACTGAGACGGCAGACCTTGAGAGACGTAGCAACGCTCTCGACATGATGAACGTTGGGAGAGTTCAGACCTCTGGTCGGTGGTCCGCTTCGGCTCGGATTCCTCGCTCGGAACTTGGTTGAAGCTCCGGAAAGCCGATCCCGTGACTGCTGCCCATCAGTGCTCAAGGCTTGTTGCTCAGTTGCTGACTATATACCTTCTTACGACCTCGCAATTAGGATACACAGGTAAAACGAGATTCTGGGTATATTTTGTGTACAGTATACTAATAGGAACAGTGCAACGAAAATAGATAACAGAGCATTTTTTTTTGCTCAAATCTGGGCTTCACGTTTCTCATTCAATATCCTCACTAGTACCTCACTAGTCTTCATCCATGTCCTTTGGTAGGGGTAGCCTCCTAAGTTAAACAGACGTGAATACGCGAGACAATGTACTCACCGACAAATCGTCAGGGAGTTCTTCCCCGTCTTCATCAAGGAACTCCCACGGCACCTCAACATTAAAGAATCTATGAATTTTGCGGTAAGAGGCATGTTCACGTATCAAATAGTCGGAAGGAAAAAACGTACTCTAGTTTCTCGTCATTGATTGGATCGGGACTTTGACGCCTCTTTCCTTCCCGCTTTTCGACTACTTTAAGTTGGTAAAGTGGTACAAAATTGGCCTCTTCCGAACACCCTGACTGGAAGAAGCCAGAAGCGCCCTCTGTGACCCATTTCAATTGCTTTCCCCTTCCTGACGTTTCAGAACACCCATCGTTGAATGATGAATTGTCCAATGGGTCTTCGCACAGCCCGATGCTCACGGTTTCCTCGGCTATATAAACTCCATCATTAGCAATAAGATAAAATTGTGGCACTAGAAAGACGATTACCCTTATCCGAAAGGTACATGGCAATGACAGCATACGCAGGGCATGTGAGAACGTGTGTCACGACGTGTTTTCCCTTGACCCATTCAGAATACTGTACCCATCTGTATGGGTACAACCGTAACGTGTAACGCAGGGGTGGTTTGGTTGCTAGCAGTAACGCGTAACGCATAGCAGTAGTTGCTTTCCCTTAAGGAGCGTTACATAGTTTTAAGCGAGCATTATATTATATAAGACAATTCAAGTGTAGTTTTGTTACTTTTGTTACTTGTATACTACAAGTGTTAGAAAATTCGAAAAGCTTATTGGATTGTTACGATTGAATTTATATACTAATACTAATGTAGTATAGTAACTTCCAGCAACGTCCGTCTGGTTGTCTGTATTAGCAACTGTAACGCGTCCACATAGTCAGGTTTCCAATTTCCACCGGTAACACACTCTGCCTGGTTGTACCCATACAGATGGGTACAGTATTTGAGTTCTTCCAGCAGCTCCTCTGGGACCCTTGTTGATCTCGACCCGTACATGAGAAGGATCGCTCCACGGTGACAGCTAAATTGCCATTGACCACCAATAACTGGTTGTGACATGCCGAAAACGTTCCTGTTAAGATCGGTCAGCAATGTATGTACTACTTTGGATCGAATAGCGTACGGATCAAATTCAGGCTTCAGTTTTTTCGTTTTCGTGTTCAGCGAATGGTACTGATGATCTGTGACCTCCGTGAGGTGAATGGGAGGATATCTTGCCGTGATCGCAGCAATGCTGCTATCGCGATAAAGATTTCCTTCCTTTTCAAACTCTCCAGTGTCCTTGTTGATGCCACCGAAATCTCCGACCTCATGTGTTGTTAACATATATGGAATGATGCATATAAGCAACGGACGTACCCGAGACATAGCTACATATTATATATACCTACTGAATCAACAGACAATGATGCTAAGGAGAGCAAGCTGAGTCCACTATCCCCCCTCTTTGTGTGATCCCTCTAAGCCTCTCACATAACCCCTCTCAACAGGTTATGAGCCTTGAGCTCCCTGCCTACACTTTATCTACACTCTACTATGTCTATGCTCTATACAGTTCTATGCATTGCATGCATGCACACAGTATACTACAATGCAGAACTTGACACACCTGTCTGAGTATCCCAAATGCAAATTAATACACTGCAGACACACAATCTACTGTACTACATACAACCTAGACATTATATGATTGTCATCTTAGTGATTATGATCATTGGCCTAGTAATAACATAATCTATACAGGTGACACTGAAACTACAATGAGTATCACTTACTGTGACATTTAATCACTAAAATATTCTATAATATTACAGAGATCATGTTATTATAAATAACTGATCATACTACAGACAAATGTTAGAAGGATTGAGAAAGCAAACACTACTCATCTGCTATTAATATTATAATAGTACAAATGATAGACACTGTCAACAAATGCACATATATTATAGCATAAATAAAATAATAACACATATAGTAATATCACAGCCAAACAATTAATGTAAGACATGTCTTGGATATGTTGGACATGTCAGATATGAGATAAAGAAGTTAGCAGACATACATCCAATATCCAAGACATCCAATATCTACACACTAATACAGCTTATGAAAGTGTACAACTATCTACAGACAAATTAATAATAATAATAATAATAAAGTTACAAAGTACATTATAGTAACTATGGTACAGGAACAAGTACACAATTATAGTCTTTAAACAAATAATGATACTTTACACCTATGATAGTGTAAACATATAATAACAATGTATAATAACAGTGAACAGTAGAATAATACCTCTACCATTACTACAACAATGTAACAGAACATATTTAATTGTACAGAATGTAGATATACTTTAACAAAGTATAAATAAACTTATATTGAAGCTACAAAGCTTATATACAAGTGAAGTACTATGCTAATATGGCTAGTACAACAAACAACAGAAAAACTATGATGGACACACTTATTATAATGATTACAAACAAAAACAATCATAATATAATAAGATTAAATAAATTAATAAAACGTTTAACACATTATCTCAGACAGTATAATATATAAAGAAAAGCAGACATAAGCATATCTATTACATCTTATCAGAGATATGAATAGATGTGCAACCAATGTTGTAACTGTAAACACACAGAGAGATTTCTTAGCATGTCTGAAATATTACAGACATATTACAAACATTACATTAAAATTTATAAAACAAACAGTACAATGTTACAGTGTAATGTTTAAACAAAATCATGTATGTCAAACATTACAAGTTAACTTAAAACATACTGTTATATTATAACACATACTGACAAACGTACAAAAGTAAAATAACAAAGTACTAACACTACTTGTTGGATTACAAATACATGAAAGGAAATTAATAATGTACTTATGTACTTACACTACTTGTCAATTACTTAAAGAATAACCTTCTTGAATTGAAGGGGAGTAATTGAATAATATACACACTAATGATGAACATTGAATTCTTAATACAGACATATTGACTATGTTACTAAGTGAAATCTGTAATGAATCTGACGAATCTGTCGAACACAAAATACTTTATTAAAGAATATAAAAGTTATACATTACATAACATTTTCAATGCTTATAAAAGTTATTTGAACAGATAATTAATAAATTAATAATAATAAAGCCTAGAAATTGCACATATTCCTAAAGTGTTCTTTGCAGCAAATGTGCAAACGTTCACAATGCAAAACTACAGATGAACAAATGAATATTCATGATGCAGAAACATTGATCTTATTGCTGATCCTAAAAAAACAATAAGTGATAGAAGTTACAGACAGATATAACAGATCACAAAGGTAAATCATTCAATGTGATGCAAAATAACATTGATTAGAACAAATAACAGAAGTCAACACAATGTGTGATTGAACTTCAACATTAAATAAATAATAATTCCACTACAAAACAAATGCTCATACTTGACAAATAATATTAATATAATAATCTGATTAACTTAACAAAGTTTAATACGAAAATAAATAAAATACAAACAAATATTACATCATATAACAAAATAATTCATCAATCCAGACTATAGTTCATGGATAAAAGTGATGAATAACGAAAATAATACTTTGGAACATACATAAAACAATAAATAATATATCCATACAATAATACAAATATAATTGCAATATAATTCACAACTACAATCAAACAATACAAAGATAATAACTATACAAACAAGTATGGAGTACATACATATAATCAAATAAAACTATTAAATTGATTCTTGTACAAACAATTAATTTGCCCTTACTGCATGATTAATACAAGTGTGAACAGCATTATAACATTATGAAATACATCAGATAGATACTAATAAGTATATCTATACAATGATTCAAATAAAATAAATAAAACCAATATATAAAACACTTTACCTAGCAAATTAATTAACAAATAAAATGTTGAACGAATACTACAATTGCACATACTACTAGATTAACTAAAGTATGCTAGGAGACTATTATAGTAAACATAATCCAATATATCACTTATATGTGGATTGTGTTATAATACACTATTCTTTGCAAAAGAAAAAGCAAAGAACAATAGTCATAATACTAATAAATATTCATGACATCACAATCACAACAATTCACAATAACACTGTTAATAATGAATTATACAAACACACATTACTAATGATTTACAATGGATAATTATGTTGGCTATTGAAGAAATAATGCAACAGATTGTATAGTTACTCAGGATGCATCAGAAACGATTCATTACAGAATGCAACATTAATATATAAATATAAACAATAACATAAAGCAAACGAACAAACAATACATTCATAATATAATACATATATGATGCACCTAGACACATAGCAAGCTGCCTACAGCCAGATATAATATCTATGCAACAAATATATGTTAGCATAAAACCTTATCAATCTTAGAATGAAGCAATCTAGCAAAAACAAATAACATTATTAATATTACAACATACAATTGATACAAAGCTTCAATCCAAAGACATAAATCAGCTATTGCTGAATGCTTAACACATATACAAATGTAAACGAACACAGACGGCAATAATTAAAGAAGGATATTATTGCAACACTAGATATACATTTTACTAGTGTGATTCATTAGTTTCACAGCAAAGTAAAAAGAAATTACTAGTAATACTCAAACAAACTTAATAAATAAAACACACACATTATAATCTTACACAGCACTCATGAGATTCTGCAGGTCTCTGAAGCATATATGATATTAATAATGATTTCAAACAATTTATTGTGAAAACAATACTGTCATTGAATGGTAAACTATGCACGAACTTCGGATTAACTCTGAACAATTTCAATCATGTCAAATAGTCTACAAGACAACAAACAACAACTTAATAATATAATGATGAACAAACTACAGAACTAATAACACAATGCCAAACGAAAACTTAATAAATATCTAACAAAGCACAAAGTTAACACACAGTGGACTAAAATATATGATACGAAGACACATTTATATTATACAAATGATATTATTATATGTGATACACGAGCAAATATAATACAGACACAACATACAATGCAGATACAATACTAATAAAAATGTTGGAACAATCTGCAAATCAAACATCTTATAGGTCTGGCCAACTTATAAATGTTTGAAGGGGAGTGGTAGCAGCACTATAACTACCCCTAAAAATAAAAATAAAATAACTACAAATCAAATAAACGAATAGTCACAAAACAAACATATTATTAAACTAATATATGTTTGAAGGGGAGTGTTAACATATATGGAATGACGCATATAAGCAACAGACGTACCTGAGACATAGCTACATATTATATATACCTACTGAATCAACAGACAATGATGCTAAGTAGAGCAAGCCGAGTCCACTATCCCCCCTCTTTGTGTGATCCCTCTAAGCCTCTCACATAACCCCTCCCAACAATA